AATGATAACCAGTTATCATTGAGCTTAGTATGCGCTAAAGAGCTTCGTTTATTCCGTGTACGGCAGAGAAATTGAGCTCCACCGTGTGGTCCACTCAAAGCACTTATAATTTTTTGAAGGCACCTTCTAGAAAATGAATCCGGAAAATAATTGTAATTATGTGTACTGTACGATCTCGAATATTCCTTCTGGCGTTAGTCACTGTCTTTTCTGGGATGCGTCAGCGCATTCAACTTCCATTCAAAATCGTAGTGGTGTTTTGTATGCGTGTGGGGCCACTACAATGACTAGTGATGACCAGCCGATTTTCGTGTAAGTGCTTTTATGTACCCAGGCGAGTCTCACATAATTCAAACGACTTCTGAGTGGTGAAAGGCTTGGTCGCCTTGGGCCAGTTCCGACCCCGGTTACTGAATTGTTCTCCGGACCATGGGCGTGCAGCAGTGCGTCACTTGCCCCTACACCACCTTCGCCCTGCACTGTACGGTTCGCATAATAATCCAGTCGGCTACCTCGTCCAACAACTTTTTTTCTTTAATACTTCTATATTTGAAAGAAACCTTCGTTCTGATAGGAAAGCGAGATGACTGGACTTCCATGCTCCTGAGCCTCCCTGCTCCCTCATCTGTGCTTCCTGCCTGTATGTAGTTCGAAGCAAGTCACGATTCGACGCTTTTTTTTCGAAGCATTTCAGTTATTCCGCTTGTATTGAACCTCTGCCATTTTATGTTCAGAGCCTCGAAACTTGCACACAAATCTTTAGCCATTTCTGTTGTCGTTTCTCTCAAGAAGTAGGAGAGAACAAGAATGTTCTCCCGCAGCTTCTCTGGAGAGGTCGAATTGTTGTGGAAGCTTTTCATAGTTGTATTTAAAAGTATTTGTGCTCCATTTTCAAAAGAAGGATAAATTTGCTGTGAAGGTTCAATCGTGTACAGCAGAATTGATTCAACGTTCGGGTCTATTGGATTATGCAGAGCAGCTAGTGTTATGCATTCTATCCCATCAAAAACCTATTTAGTACAGTTAACAGAGATTTACCGTGAAATAATCCAAAAACATTGATTAATCTTATAAATCATATTACAGAACAGGCAGATTAGAATAATTAATATTGGTTTTCGGTTTTCTCCGTTTCACCGCTTGCAGCAAGAGAGGGGTGAGGGAAGCGTAGGTGATGGTAATGCACGTCCCGGATGATCCCTGATAAGTGACTCACTCAACTCACTCACCATCAGTTCCCCCCACGTACTTGTTTNGCTCAGTTTGCAATTTTGTGCAGCTACCATCTCTCGAAAATCGATTGTTATACTTGTAACTTAGCTATAATTAAATCCCATGTGTATTAGAAATTCACCTTCCAAGGAGGTGCTTACTGGAGGCCTCCAGGCTGCCTACATTTTATTATCTGTCTGATCAAAAGTAAACGATACTGAGTACTACTACTATTAGGATCCTTCGGCAGGCAGAACCTATTAACAATTGGGTGATGTACTTCTCAAATTCTACACTCTAGCGGTTAGGGCTTGAGATAAAATCTGTTTAATGCTTGAAGTCATTAGGAGGACGCTCATGAAGGATATGGCTCAGGAACTCCTAGATCATATCGTCCTCGAGCCTACTAACTTAGATACTTCTCCTGTAGAAGTCGTGGACCCTCTGGGCTATAACAGCTACTATTTTAACTAAGCTTATCTAGGGAAAGATTGGAATCTTTGACCGAAGCAGTAGCTCGTTTTCTTGGAATTTGTTTGAACTGAAATTCCCAGGTTACTACTGTTGATACTCGAGTAATCAGAACACTGTTAACAGCTGATGTCTCTTATCGATATGATATATTGTACATACATACATACATAGCATGACGACGTTATGTGGACTGGTATTTGTATCGGTCACAGTTTCGTCATCGATTTAACGCCATGATCGCTTCCATATGGCTTTTCCAGAGAATGTCGTGTTTTTGCTCATAAAGAATACCCGACCTTTATTAGCATCGCTTAGGCCACCCAGATGGTCGCTACTGCCAACAAAAACAATTTCACTTCGATTCCTTCTACGAGAGTGTTCTCCTTCGCGCTGCTCTAACCTTCTTCCTGAATTCTTCTTTTTTTACTGCTTCGAGCGATGTTCCAACTAACTGAAGCTTAACTTCTACTCAAACATCCTTTTATGGATTGCTCAGAGCATATTACCTTCAAATTCTGAGGGGCAAGGAGCACGATACACGGAGAGCATAAGTTTGAGTTCGAGTCCTGTCCGATGCGAAAGTTTTGCTCAAAACTAGCTAGAATCCAAATTCAGTTGAAAACCCAGTTTTCAATTCGTTGTCATACCTACCTTTACCTTTGCCTACTGAGCAGAACATGCCTCTCCTGGGTTCAGCCCTCTCTTCTCCACAGTGTAGAGCTAAGTATGATATGAAGCAAAACTTCGTAATCATTTCCCATTTAGTCTCCAAACTTTACCCCCTGTCCTCTTCATCGATTATCGATTGGTCATTACCGATTGCTCTGCAGTTTCACTTCGATAAAATGGCTCGTTTAGAACTCACTTAGCAAACGGAACGAGCTGGTTTTTCATCCGTAAACGCCTCCAGAATTTATGAGCGTTCCGTGATCCGCCCTCGTAGTCGCTCTTAGATGCTGCCGCTTAGCCCGAAGCCCCATACCCACTTCACTGGATAGCTTTCCTCTTAGGTTCTCTTCAAAAGCTCATTTCACACAGCTATTTTACGTATCATCACAGCATACGCCTATTTGAATGTAAATGCGTTTTCAATGAACATTTTTCCCTTTCATTTTGATATTTATGAATTAAATGCGAATTCAGGGAAAAAAGGGGTCATCTCCAATACAGCTGTATGTGCCACATCTGTTTACTTTTTAGTTGTGAGCATGATCAAACAGTTGAGTGACTATAATGCTTGCTATTGATTAAATAATGAAGTAACAATTGAGAGATTTGTGAGAGTGAAGCCCACCCCATAGTTCACTAGTTACTTTCCCTGTCGAGGTACTGGATAAGCATCATCCCCTCTTCGTGGAGCTGCATCAGTTCTTGGAAACCTCGAGATCATTTACCTTTCAAAACGGTTCTTACATGAATTTCCTGTAGACCTGGACTGTCTACAGTTTACAGCTTACGTCTACCAGTACATCTACAGCTTAAGCTTAATTAGCAGAGTCTGTGACCTCTCTACTGTAAGGTTGCCTATCATTTTATAGAGAGTTCAGCAGGAACCAGTGCCCATGTGACATCTAGGATTGGAGTGGGAGCAGTGGCTTTCATTTGAGCTGGGGTGAATGGCCAGGTTTCTCCTTGTCGCCTAGGCTTTGCGTAGGCGTCGCTGCCGGTGAGAACAGCAAATAAACAAGGTGTCCATTTGTCTCCTATATGTCACGTCAGCCAGCACTAATGCCCACTTACCCAAAAATGTAGGCGTTCCACTTTTTTCCAGCTTAATAACCCCACACTTTACCGGGTGCACACCAGAACGTGTTCATGAATCACAAAGTGGCCAACTTATAAGCAAACCTTTGACCTTCGCAGTGACTTGAACCCACCCAGACAGACGTATGACCACAGGAAACCGCCCTGTCCACTGCATTAACATTCACGTCAGCGGTTAAAAACAGCACTTTGCAGGCGGAAACCAATTGAATGGGGTTATGTGCCCTAGCCACAATATGAGATGAGTTTGCTATAGATGGGTTAACAAAAAAGTTTCTCCTGTCGTAACCAGTAAGTAGGAAATTGCTATTAAATCTGTGGGAAAACTTCCGCCCAGGAATCGATTCAAGGGTTATGCAAATGAAAGGTTTTAGAGAAGGACCAGCCAGCTGCGGCAAATTTTACGTACTATTTCGCCAGTTCCCTCTATCGATCCGAATACTTAATGCTCAATAACAATAACAGGAGTCCGAAAATTATTCAAAACAGTTCAGGGTCCAAAAATTCCTGGAATATTCTCGCAACATGTCTAGGTACAGCTTCTGGGGTCTGGGACTAGGCTCGTCTTTTTCTACCCTTGAAACTCCAAAGTATTCCATGTTGGGGTGTTCTGGCTCAATTTGCATTGGTAACCCAGGATCGATCCGAATTTCTTTTCAGAATTCTACTTGATTCTAAGATTTTTTTGGTGGTTACGAGATAGCTGAAGCTGTATTTCTTATAACTCTTCCTCTAAATTCGGGCTCAGCTTCTAGCAATGGGTCATATCAATGAAGGTGTCGCACCGTAAGAGTGATCGTCTCACCTAATTGTCAGGCATGGCCATCATACGGCATCAATCAATCTGCTACGACACTTTGGCACTTGACAATTCTTGTGTTTGCTTATCCTTAGCCGCCATTCTTCCCTTCAATATGTCACTGCCAATCACTTTGTTGTCTTTAGCCAGAGTATTGCATTCGTACTGTTAGTAATTAGGCTGAAGAACGAGAAAATGTGGAAATAGCCAATACCTGTGTCCGTGCAGCTGCAAACTACGTGTTAAGTAGAAATAGTTTTTATTTGAAGCGTTGTTTAGCATTGCTGCAGCGAAATACTGTTCGGAAATGGCTCATCAAGGGTTCAAGACGCCTATCGGCGTTGAGGTGGGCGGAGATGGCGCAAGCTCCTCCCATCGCTGGTGAACTGGGCCGAGGTGACAGTCTCCGAGGTCTTGTTGCGCTATTACCAGTACATATTTCTCCTTTGCAATGCCAAATATCAACTTCTTAGGATCCAAAGCTACTTTCCAGTAAATCTAAAGAAGCGACCTGATGTGAGCTCGCTCTTCGAATGTTCCATCCGATTTTTGAGCGGTTGTAGATGGACTGCTTGAAAAGTTGACGAGACAACTGTCTCTAAAAATCTGTTTTGTTATCCGATTCACGTAGTTCTGTCAGATATTTTGAGAAATCATTGTTCAATCATAATATTATTCGTATATTCGCCTTTTTCTTCAAGTTTCTTATGTCGAAATAATCTCATAAAGTAAAGCAGTAATTTTTCCAGTAATGAATTCAATTTCTCGTGCAGTCACCTCACGTTTCCATGATATATCGAACAAAAGGCAAAGACTTGTAGGAGGAGGAAAGGATTCAGATTTTGGTCGGTACAACAGAGTTGTTATTAGATTACTGGAGTACTGTACTTAATATGATGTAAAAAATATTCAGTGAATCCAAGTTGGACAGATCCCACCACCAGCGACTTCAACTGTTTCGAACCACCGGAACTGATCATTTCGGAGGAGGACTGGCATGAGGTTTGTTTTGACGCTTCCGTATCTGTAATCTTCTACCGTACGGGTTTCATTTCAGAGTCCTTCACTCGAGACGAAGTTCGGAAAAGTTACGTTCCCTGCAGAAACAAAAAGTCAGAATAATATTTCAAAAAAGGTAAAACTTGTTACAGTACTTTTATACGGCTATAGAGTTTTTCAGAAGAAACACCAGGAAAAATGAACATTTTTTTGCTCATAGCACCTGCTTTTCCAGTTTCACCCAGATAGAGAAAATATTTATGGAACGTTGAATAGGCATGTGGGGTTTCATGGGACATTCTGTACACAATCATGTTTCATGCTCTCAGGTTACATCAGTGGTACGGAGGCTTTCACCGTTTGGTAGCAACAATAACCTTTCAAAGGACAAAGACGAGGAAAAACATGAAAGCACCGAGGAAAAGAAATCACAGAAAATTTTCAAGGAGACTGTACGTTGCTTTACAAAAACAATTTTTTCTATAGTTTTTGTTGTCAGGAAATTTTCTAGCTTGCACAGCTGTCTAAGGCAGCTGCGTTGAACATTTTAGTCTTTTTAGCAAATAAGCGAGAAAAGCGAAAGTAGTGCTTTGAATTTCTTGTTCCTAGCAATAAGAAGACATGGTCGGTACACATCTCCGAGGCCTTTCCTACACAGTACTACTCTAGTACTACTGCTTTAGTACTACTCCCATGTGCTCATTTGGGAAAATACCGTCTCAGCTAATGGCTTGCTGCTCACGCTTACAAACAAAAACTCACTTTGCTGTCTGAACACGGCTCAATCTAATAATTTGGCGGCTCTAGAAATGAATGGGGTCTTGTAGCACTGCTGAACGCCAACATTGAATGCTTCACATCCAAGGCATAATAACTACATTGTAGAGCTTGTAATGCAGTAATAGTATTTGAAATTGTTAAATCATTTGAGTGCTAATCAGACTCCATCAGTTAAAGGAATGAAGCTATTAATTTGTAATGCAGAATTAGTAATTCTTCAAAACTTCCACGCACTTGATTATCTGAAAAAATAATTCGTCGTTAATGAAAATCTAACTATGTATCAGAAGGGTTTTCTTTCCCCAGGAAAAATATAATTTCACACCTGTTCCTTCCTCGTCTTATTAATGAGTTTATTTGAGCTTCCCTCGGCTGATTCGAGCTACCATACCAGTAGAATACTTATAATTGAACCCCTTCTTCAGAGTAGACGTTTCCAATTATCTGAACAGGAAAGCTATCCAAATGCCATCGGTCAAAAGCATAAAGCCACATTGTTCTCGAGGATATTGCACCATAAATGGACGACCAGAGATCACATCTTTTTTGGCTACACGTCGTTTCAAAAGTTGTAGCTTTCGAGTTTTTGTAGTAGCAAACAGATACTAACAATCACTCAAGAGCAAAAATAGAAGAACTCGGAGAATGGGACGAACAAGTTTCTTTAGGTTTCAGCTATTCTTTGAACTTTTGTGCCCGGACTGAACTACATTAGCTGAAGTGGAAGAAACGATCGCTGAGAATACATT